ATAATATATATTATTTCCTTTATCATAGTTTGTTTCAATAGGAATATGCATTGTCATAAATAATTTTGAATACAAACAAGTTTTAGGATTGAAACAGCAGTGGGAAAGCAGTCTACCAAATGTCCTTGATTGATGTAAATATCTTACAAAAACATTGGTGCCTAATTTGTTTAATTATTTTAAGGGACATAATTTCCAGCTTTATTCAAGGTAATTCAGATAATTTAGTATGGATATAATTTCAATAAAGCAATTATGCATATCTTCTGCCATGTTTGGGTCAAATAACAGATTGAAGAATGAGAGGCGTGATTTCGACAGGAGCTGAGTTGGACATTCAAAGTAATGGCTACAAACCCACTAGAGGGCATAGTTTAAAGTTGACATGTAACATTTTCCAAAAACTATTGTAATCATAATGGATAATTTTCTGAAACAAAGATACTTCATCAAATTCATAATAATGTTGTTAAGAATTACGGTTGATATTTGAAATGTTCACACCCTTGGCTATGATCAGTAACTAACTCCGGAGTGATTTACATCCAAAATGTTGGTTCCCCATTCATCTCTAACACATAAAATATCTAACTACTAATTTAAAACATACGCAGCATGGAAATAAACCTTTTCATCGAAAGGATTCCTTGCCCAAATTATTTTTAATAATAAGTCCATTCTTATTTTTTACATAAAAATGTTGCTATTATGTCTAAATCTTTTGAAGAAAAGTACAGACTGTAAATGAGACTATTTTGTGATGAAAAAAGGGAACTGGTTGTGAAAAGGTTAAAATCATTTTTGATACAAATATATTCCAGTACACAATTCTCCCAAAAGTTTGTATAATTGAAATAAAAATTTTAAATAAGAAAGTTATTACATGTATTATTATCTATCTATCTATTTATTTATTTATTTATTTGTACATATTACATACTTTGGCCTATCTTGTTTTGTTTTTTATATAAAATCATTTTGTTAATCGACCAGCAGTTATTTGTTAGCACTAAACTGACAAAATCCATAACATTGTATAACAGCAAAGTCTGTTGCCAGTAGTTTGATTCAACATTATTAAGCAAAATCAAAATAAGAAACAAAAATTAAAATTTTCAAAATTGTTACAAAATTAAATTTTAGTTTATAATAAGTTAATAAAATAATATAATTCTAAAATAGTAAAAAAAATACATTCTCACCTCTCACTCTTTTGAAAAAGTTTTGGTTTTCAAAAGTCCTTGTAGTATACCCGTTGTGTACCTGCCTCTGCAAGTAATGTAGAATAGAATCGGATCCTTCTTCACAAATTATCTGTGGTGGAACCTCGCATTTATTATTCACTGCCATGACCACTTCTAACGTTTGACACGTTCCAAGTGATGGCGGCAAACCCTGAAGAAAGTTATGACTGACTTTAGTTTTGTCAATTTCTCCATCTTGCCGAGCTCTTCCGGCAGGAGCACCAGTTCGTTGCAAGAGAGATCCAGCTTTTCAAGTTTTACCAAATGTACGAAAGATTTAGGAATTTGTTTCAAGTTATTGTGATTGAGAAGTAAAGTTTGTAGATGAAATAACAGTCCAAAACTGTGTGGTAATGACGATAGGTGGTTGTGGCTCAGATCTAAATAATTTAGATGAGGCAATCGTAGAGGTATTTCTACAGGTAACTGTGTTAGCATGTTGAACGACACATCCATGCGTTCGTACAGAGATATGGAGTCGACTATATTCCATGGAAGTTCATTTATGGAACCTGGTAGTGCCTCACCATTCATATGCTAGAAATAATAAAACAGAATAGCGATGAAAATGCTAAAACTATTTAAACTGAATTACCAAGAAAGACTTAATTTCCACCTATCGGTATTTATACTGCCCTCAATAGTACCGGTATATGTTGAACTATTTCCTGAGACATTCGGCCATAAAATCACAAGAGCAGACTGGCTGGGTACTGAGGATAGGTTTGATGATAGATTTTCAATTACAACCCTAGGATTTGTAATGCCCTGTTCTGATTTACACTCATCACTACAAAAAACAAGCAGCCTCTCGGCTGAGATAGCTCCCTGTTAGCAATGCACATTTCAATTAAAGAACTGAAGATATCATTACGAAATGAACAAATATGAAAAACGGCCCACATGTAGTACTTATATGTATAGTATCAAAGCAATCGGACTTGCGTTTTTTAACAAGAAGTCGAAAAAATCACTTTTTATCAAAAATGTCAAAAATATTCATTAAAATTAGAGAATTGAAGATACCATCACAAAATGAACATATCTGAGAGAGGTCAACCTGTAGTTCCTATTTGTATAATACCAATCAGACTTGTGGTTTTTAACAAGAAGTCGAAAATATCACTTTTTACAAAAAAATGACAAAAATATTCATCAAAATTAAAATGAAATGAAATGAAAAGAACAAATCTAAGAGAGGTCAGTCCAAGGTACATATACACAAGTATCAAAGCAATAAGAATTGTAGTTTTCAAGAAGAAGTCGAAAAAGTACAAAGTTGACACGGGCGACACCGGACAATCACTCATATGATAAGCTCTGCTCGTCAAAGTCAACAGTGGAGCTAAAGACACATTTCCATCATGACTTACCGGTAAAGACCATGACAAAAAATACTGTATACTGCCATGCATTTTGGTGACCTAGTTTAATTCACTTGCTAAAATAGTCAAGAGCTCCTCTGAACACAAAACAAAAACAGAAATCTTAATTCAGGGACTTTACTCAACAACACCCTATTTTACAGAAACATTCTGATACTGAATGTCACCATTTTTTTTTTTTTTAGAAGATAATGATCGAGAACAATTTACAATGTACCACTAATTGAAAAACATGACAAAATAATTACCATATTAGCTCTAATAAAAGTACATCTTTCATAAAAACTCACATAAACCATTATGGATCATTAAAATATGACTTATTTTGATAATAATGAATACATGCATGTTTTGTTTTTTTGATACATTTCTGATACATTTCAACATTATGGGTACTGTGGCACAAATATTGTCCAAATCAAATGTAATAAATTTAATTTGCATGATGGAATTTATAAAATTAATAAGACGTCAATTCGTTTATTTATAAATCTAACAATCTCTCTGTACAATATATACAAATATTTGCACATTCTATAAACTAAATATAGTGATTTATGGTGCACTAATCTTATCTACTGTACTCATCAATTCCATAGCAACGCAAGTTAGATATTACCAGTATTCTTGTTAGTTCTCATTGGTTGCAAATATTTGTGGAAAAGAGAAGGGATTAACATTTTCACTGAAAAATAACGAAATAAATTTGACGAAATTGAACAGAAAAGTTTACCAACAGGTGTTGTACCATTGGCAATGCAAATAGTGACCAATCCACCTCCATTTTGACACATTGTGACCAATCCACCTCCATTTTGACACATTGTGACCAATCCACCTCCGTTTTGACACATTGTGACCAATCCACCTCCATTTTGACACATTGTGACCAATCCACCTCCGTTTTGACACATTGTGACCAATCCACCTCCATTTTGACACATTGTGACCAATCCACCCCCATTTTGACACATTGTGACCAATCCACCTCCATTTTGACACATTGTGACCAATCCACCTCCGTTTTGACACATTGTGACCAATCCACCTCCGTTTTGACACATTGTGACCAATCCACCTCCGTTTTGACACATTGTGACCAATCCACCTCCATTTTGACACATTGTGACCAATCCACCTCCATTTTGACACATTGTGACCAATCCACCTCCATTTTGACACATTGTGACCAATCCACCTCCGTTTTGACACATTGTGACCAATCCACCTCCGTTTTGACACATTGTGACCAATCCACCTCCATTTGACACATTGTGACCAATCCACCTCCATTTTGACACATTGTGACCAATCCACCTCCATTTTGACACATTGTGACCAATCCACCTCCATTTTGACACATTGTGACCAATCCACCTCCATTTTGACACATTGTGACCAATTCACCTCCATTTTGACACATTGTGACCAATCCACCTCCATTTTGACACATTGTGACAAAGAAAAGTACTCTGAATCATCTGCATACTTCCTACCAAATATTTTTCAAAATCTTTTTAACTTCTGGTCAAAACAAAAACACATATCTTTTACCCCAATGGTAAGGCTAGAAATGAATATATGTAATACAAAATGAAACAAAATTGTCATCACAATAGAATTTGCCAACATTTGCAAAAACTTGCTAAAAACAGAACTGACATAACCAGAGAATGCTCAGCACGTCAATCGTTAAGGCGATGGGACATTTTCCACCAAAATGCGTTACTTTGCTGTGAATTCAAAAGAAGTTTACAACATTGAACAAAGCCCTTGTAAAATCATTATAATGATACAACAGTAGCATTTTCATTTGTTTCTTTTAATTGAATATCTCATAAATAATTAATCACATGATGCAATAATGATTTCTGATATCATTTTAAACAAATGTTATTTGTGTAGGAAATATCTACCGTAGTGTAGGAATGGTCCAAATACAAGATGAGTTGAATGTGAAATACAGGGAAAAAGGTATATTCACTGGATTTTATTTTCACTGAATTCACTTCAGTTCCATAAGGTATATTCACTGGATTTTATTTTCACTGAATTCACTTCAGTTCCATAAGGTATATTCACTGGATTATATTTTCACTGAATTCACTTCAGTTTTATAATCAGATAGTCAGTGGATTAACACATTGCCTGCTAAAGCCTCCATGAATCGCCAAAATGAAAAGAAATAAACAGCATCAGCAAACAATGTGGGATAGTTGCAATATTCTCTGCTATGAGAACCTGAGCTAGTCTAGGTGTTAGTTGCAATATTCTCTGCTATGAGAACCTGAGCTAGTCTAGGTGTTAGTTGCAATATTCTCTGCTATGAGAACCTGAGCTAGTCTAGGTGTTAGTTGCAATATTTTCTGCTATGAGAACCTGAGCTAGTCTAGGTGTTAGTTGCAATATTCTCTGCTATGAGAACCTGAGCTAGTCTAGGTGTTAGTTGCAATATTCTCTGCTATGAGAACCTGAGCTAGTCTAGGTGTTAGTTGCAATATTCTCTGCTATGAGAACCTGAGCTAGTCTAGGTGTTAGTTGCAATATTCTCTGCTATGAGAACCTGAGCTAGTCTAGGTGTTAGTTGCAATATTCTCTGCTATGAGAACCTGAGCTAGTCTAGGTGTTAGTTGCAATATTCTCTGCTATGAGAACCTGAGCTAGTCTAGGTGTTAGTTGCAATATTCTCTGCTATGAGAACCTGAGCTAGTCTAGGTGTTAGTTTTAGATTGTAAATTACACTGCAAAAGATAAATAAGTAAAAAAAAAAAAGATGTGGAATTATATAAAGTATGAACACCCAACCAAGTTCCCCTTAACCTTAATATCAATAATATCAATAATATCGGGTATATTGATTATTTTATTATATTATCAGAAGCTATTTGTAAAAACACCTGTCACCAGACTAGGGGTAGTTGCCAACAAACTAAAATGTGATTTGTCTATTAAAAACAATATTCATAATACTGAAATTTGGATTTTGTAACAAACCTGACTTGAAAAAATTCCATGAAGTGAAATAAGCAATACTGTGAGACAAAACAATAAAATTCATTTAAATCATTGTATAACTCCATACTTATATCAAAATTAAAAAGCAGTAGCATACATTCTCAGACTCAAGAGTGTTCAGTTTAGCCAGGTATTTCACCTAAGTGTACTGGCAATGGAACCTCAATACTTATACATGTGTACAAGTAAAAATAAAGAGCATACTAATAATGCATGCCATCTTGCAAGGAAGCGCATAAAAAGAACTTATAGAAATTTACATTACCTGCTCATAGAGTTGAGGATTTAATCTCCGACTTAAATTCAACTCTTTTCTTTCGTCATCCCTAACAGGAACGAAATCATGCATTTCGACATTCCCCATGTTGATATCTTTCTATCTACGTCCTCTGACTTATCTAAAAAATAAAAGAACATCAAATTCATTAAATTGTTAAAAAAAAAAACTATACTTCGAAAATACGAGATTACTGAAACTTCTACTTGCTATTAGCGTTGCATGATTATTGTGTTGTACAAACAGGAAAGTCTCGCTATACGGCAATGAAACACTTGAACCTTGTACCACGACTCAAAGTTCAGCAAACTATATTATTTTTCGGTTTATATGTCACGAATGTCAATATTTACGTTATTTTACTGGCGTCCAGTCGGAAATAATAACAGAAATAGACAGCAGTTTAAAGACTCTAATACATATACAGTGTTAAAGAAGGATGTGATTTCCATGGTGTGGCGGCTAATTCCCTTTGAATACATGCGTGATGATGCAATATTATTCCACTATTATGCAAATGAAATGCAACAGATGAAAACGCCGGTCCAAAGTACAAAGCGTCATCATATAAATGTCAGGCTAATAAATTGTGATATTAAAAAAATATTTTAAATTCAAGATACTACCGGTAGTTCATACTCATTTATCCAGACACAAACAAATTTGTGTTGTTGATAACAAATAAAATATGTGTAAATAGTTCTACTGAGTAATTTTTCATTGAATGTGATGTCGCAATATTATTCTGTTATTCTGGATGGCGTGATTTCTCAGCTTAAGTCACCTATTGTACGTTTATTGTACATTACATTTGCCGGCAATCGCTTTAAGCAGACTTTGAACCACAATAATTACACATTAACAAATCAGGTAGCAAACATGCAAAGAAAACATGACCTGTGATCAAACTTACAGGACTGGGACTACTCATGCTGAAATGAAAAAAAATACAACCACTTCACATTGGCATGCATGTTTACCACTGACCTAAAAAAAATTATCTTATTATTTTTTGTTTTAAATGTATTTGCTCCATTAGTATTGCATGCTACATGTATTATGTACATGACAGAGGTGTGTCTATGGTCATAATAAGTTGTATTTAGCGATCTGGTATACAATACAGCACTGTTCCTCAGGACCGTGAATACAGGTAACTATTGGTTTACAACTTCTATTGGAGATGACTTTCACATAACGTAATAAATAAAAAATAAATAACAACAAATAATAATGAGATAGAACAAAAACAGAAGGATTTAAGTATTAACTAGAATCCAAAAAATAAAAAAAAATTGACACATGTTAAAAACGCCAGTCACAACATCATTGAACTTTGACAATGATCGTCAATGAGGGCGACTGTGGCCGGCCACGTTCAACGTCTTGTTCTAGGGAAGGGACAATTTACAGGGGTGTGTCACTTAATCGCGGTGCTAGACGCAAAATAGCCAAAAAAGTAAATTACGATAACGTTAAAACATAATATTACAGTTTTATTGACGATAACATCGGTAAATCCGAAAACAATGAATACTAATTTATCGGGTTCACCAATTAAAACTTGATGATCGCCCGTCCGAGGCACGTACTCGCCGATGATGTACGAAACTTTCTGACTTACCAAACAAGGTTTAAACTACTTGTACGCTAAGTATTAAGCAAGTATGACCGCTAGTTGCATCTTCTACGGCACACTACGCTAGAAATCTAGAGAAAACGCAATTAAAACGTGGTAAACAAAATACCAGCTGTTGACATCGACCAGCTCGATCATTTCACGCCATTTTCATTCTGTCAAGCGAGGTCGTAGGTTAAATGCGTCACGTGATGACGTCACTCGGTTGAAAGTTCATCGTTGTGATTCCGCGTTGGCAAGTCGATATAAATTTACTCTCGTTGTACCACAACAGCTGTTTGGTGTATTTCTGTCGATATTACAAGTGAGTCTATTTAAATTACCCCCTATCTTATTCACACCGTTCACGTGCCCAACTAACCTTTCCATAGACATAGTTAAACGAAACCAAATCATCGTGAAGTCGAAGAAATTGCTCCTGAAAAGTTGTCTGTCGGCGGTACGTCGGGTGATAACCGAAGTCGATCCCAATTGCCTGTGCTTTAGTTCAGTGCATCGACGGAGTGAGTTAGTGCCTAATAAAAGTGGTATGTACTATGCAAGATTTTCCTAGAGCTATTATCAAAATCTGAGACTGGCAAACAATTTGCATTTTGATTCTTTTTAACAGCATTATTTAAAATTGATATTTGTTGATGTGTCTCACATAAATTCCTTTATTAAAACACGGAAGAGTGTGATCTACCTATGATTTGATTTTGTTCTGTTTTCAGCGTACTTAAAAGGAAATGAACAACGAAGAGAAGTACACTGATGGGAATATAGAAAATGAAGCTGAAGTTGAAACAAATGAAATTCTCAACCATGGAGGAAATGATGAGACACTAGAATCAGACATTGCATCATCAGATGTTGTGAGTAAGGAGGAAACTGCTGAACAGTTAAACGATTTACAAAATAATGATGAGATGGATAATAATTATGAAGATAATGAATCTGATCTAGATGAAGAAGATGATGATGATGATGATGGCAGTAACGATGGTAATGCAAGTGATGAGGATGAAGATTACAGTACTGGGGAGGAAAGTGATGCCGAATTGGGTGGCGATCCAGGAGCCTGGCATATGGGTCTCAGACAAAGGCGGCCTTCAAATCCTGACCTACCAGAAACTGTGACGACTCTTACTACAGAGCATGGTTGTAAAGTGTTCATAGTAGGTACAGCCCACTTCAGTGAAAGCAGTCAACAAGATGTGGAAAAGGTGAGTAATTTTATTGCTTTAGCTTCTAAACACTAATTTGCACGTACTATTCTGGAATGGATTAAGATTGCAGTGTAACTGGTATGCACCGCTAAATCCAACGCTACTCGTACATACCGGTATATCCCATAATGCAGTGTAGCAGTGACATAATTTTGGATGTGCATTTTTATAAATAACAGCAAATGTGGTATGCTATAACAGTATTATGCAAAAAATACCATATTGAAAAAGAAGCCGATTGTATGAGATCTAGAGGCACAAGTAAAATTATTGAATCTACTCTGAATCCAATTTGGCACTGTAGGGGATTTATTAGTCTTATCATAGACCATACGAACATGGAGTCTATGATTTTATACTTCAATTCAGCATGTGAATGACTGGGGAAAAAAGCAGTGAGCACTAACATAGCAGTGTGCTGGAAAGTTAGTCAGAATGGTTAGATTGTTATTGGTAAAAGCTCTGAGAAGTTAAATGTGTTGGTTCATTTATAACGTACCCACCTTACATGACTTCAGTGTAGTTAAAAATTATTTATTATTATCAAAGTATTTTTTTGGAACTATCAATAGCAGATAATCTTGTAGCAGTGGGCAGATTCTTTCTCAATGATAAGCAATATCAGTATTGTTGTAGGATTTTATATTTCAATGTGTATTTTAGAAAGATATATTATTATGCAGTGTATCAGGTCATTTTTCGTTTACTGCGGCATCCTGTGTTATGCGTGAATTCGAACATAAATACAGGACAAACAAAAGTTATAGTAACGTAGTGGTGTCTAACATTGCGTGGGATTTGACAAACACGAAAATATTTTGGGGGATATTTCCACGCTTAATAATGTGTTGTAACATTTTTATGATGGTCGATTTCAATGAAGTAAGGGTATCTAAACACAATATTGCTGTTTTAAAAAAGGAATACAAGTTCAAAATCAAATCATTCGATTTTTGCGGCAGATGTCTGGCCAGCGTCTTTCACAGAATATGCGAGATCTCGTAGTTGAACGAAAAAAACCTATTGGCCACCTGTCTGTAGTGTATTTGTCTTTACTGAAATGATGAGTCCCATGGACTTATTTTCAAGATCTAAGGGCCTAGACAGCTGACTCTGTATACCAATATTTAAAGTCAATCGTTGGATTTCAGTGAATAATCCACACATAGAATGATATATCGGAATACAAATAATCCTTTCATTTTCAAAACTACAATGAATGAAAATCATAAATGATCGTCATAAGTAGAACAATGGTGCTATGCCAGATGTTTTGAATTTATTGGAATGTCAGTGTAACAAGATATAATAGCGGATTTGCTCTAATAGAACCATATGCACTAACATAAATGACTTATTTTAATTAAGATAGAAGCCTATTCATAATTTTTGGGAAAATTGTCATAAATGGCATGACAATGTTCATTGGTTTGCTATGTACAATAATGAAACTATTGTCCCATGGCAAAATAAAATAGCATTTTTGTTGAGAAACTTAATATTTTTCAAAAATTGCTATTTTTAGAACGATTCCATAGAACACAATGTTGAAGATAAATTACATTTTTTAACACCTATTAACAACCAGATTTATGTAATAATTGAGGCCGACAAAAAGTGACCCATTATAACCAATATATGATGTTTTTAATTTAAGATACGGATAATATCCTTGTCATGA